AGTAGTTCCTTCAGGTGCATCACCCACTGCTTCTTTAGGACCCACTGGGCGCAAGACCTGGGGCGCAGGTGGCCGGGCAGGTGTCAGCCGAGGATCAACACTAGGTCCAGGTGGTTGCAGGTGTGGTGACCCAGCAGCTGCTTCTCTAGGACCCACTGAGCGCAGGACCTATGGTGAAGGCAGCCGGGCATGTGTCAGTCGAGGAGCACCGCCAGGCCCAGGTGGCTGCTTCTCTAGGACCCGCTGGGTGCAAGACCTGGGGCGCAGGCAGCCGGACATGTGGCAGTCGAGGTGCACCACCAGGCCCAGGTAGCCGTGGTGGCTGCAGGTGTGGCGACAGCGCAGCTCCTCGTCCAGGACACACATGTCGCGAGACCTGGGGATGTGGTGGGCGGGCAAGTGGCGGACCAGGCGGGTGAAATTGAAAATGCACTTGTTGTGGTGCGGCCATCGCGGGTAATTCACTGGTACTTTGACAAAGTGGCGAATGTCCACATTTTGTCAAAAATGAGTTACAGGTATTCTGGGGCACACAATTGAAAACCCAACACATAGAAACAAACGGGACATCTCTATCTATAATACATTCTGTGCTAGAAAATAATTTATAAATGACGTATGTTGTTACGCGAATGTTTTTCTCGTTACTTTCTGGACTTTACTAGATTAATTTGTGATTAAAAGGCAATGTGAATGGAAATTATTGGAACTTGATATCTCGAATAGTTATGATTATTTCAGTTAATTTGTCAGTTGGCTTACTATTCTATCGTCTTACGGTCCTTCACTCGCAGTAACTGAATACACACTTGAAATTGGTTTACTTCACGAATAAATCGATATTTATTATTATTTTGCAATGAGACACACACAGAACACAAAACACTAATCGAAGGATCAGAACACAAGCTACGGTATCAAAATTCAGAATTCATCACAAGAATAAATCTAAGAATTAACTACAAGAAATAAATCTAACACGGGCACTAGCGCCCCGCAAATGAGATCCAGATAACTCACTAGGGACAGGTAACAACTCAAACACACTCACCAGTGGTCATGTTAATCCTGGTGTACACGGAACACTATTTTTCACTTTAAGGCACTGACTCGAAATACACGATAAACAATGAAACTACTGAACTAAAACAGTGAACCAAAACTCTGAACAACAACACTACGACACTACAACACTACAACACACTAAACCACAACACTGAACACTGAACTACAACACTGGGCCTACAAGTCACGGGACTACTAGACCTAGCAGAGAAGCGCACTGGTCGGAAGCTCCAGACGAAGTGCCTTCTCGAGTCACGGCAGAACGTTTATATGCAAGGGCCGGCCCGAGTCTGGCCCGGGAGGTCCCTTGCTCTGATTGGCTCGGCGGCGAAAGGACCAACGGCGTGAGCCGGTCCCGCCCATCGATGCAGGGGACCGCATGTGGTTCGTCACACGTGCAGCCCCTTCCAAAGATGCGCCGTCGGCGTCACCAAAATAGATAACTTTGATTTGAATACAAGAGCGAGAGAGAGAGAGAGAGAGAAGGGGGGGGGGGCGCGTTCAGTGGGTCCAGCCGCCATGCCGGAACGATAACGGCTGAGTCCCACGGTCGGCCGCTCGCCCCTCTCCACTCTCGCCGGCTGCGATGGTATTATTGACTCACTCCCGGGGGCCGGCGTGGCCGCTCACCAGCTGCACAGCCTGGTGTCGATAAAGGTGCGGTCCAGGAGGTCACACGTGGTCAGCGCCTTAGTTTTGACGCGACCCGAGCGTTCCCGCGACCGCGGCTGTCATGGCGGCCATTAGTGTCATCGTGCTTTTAGTCAGCCATTACATCTCTATTTTACGAGGGGCGGAGCTGTCGCGGCGGCCCCCTTTCGAGGGGCTCTGACACCAGCCTCCCCCCCCCCTCCCCCCTCATCGGGCGGAGGCGGGGGAGCCGGGCGGGCTCATGGGCCGCCACGCGCCACACATGTGTGCGCGCCACCGCTCGCAACAGAAGATGCAACAAAAAAACTGTTAACACGACACCTCTATTCACCCAGAAAAAAGATTTCTTACATCAAGCCAAATTGGCTTGAAATAAGAAAATTTCCACCTCGGCTGAACCAAATCCAAAAGAGCGTCCGGTCAAGAAAAACCTAGGCTTCATTTGGTTGGATTGGATCAAAACTAACACTGCTTGATTCAAGGCAAATTTATATTGCAAGCCAAGAATAAAGATTCTTACTTCAAGAAATTCGGCTTGATTCTTGCATACATTATTTCGAACCAAATATTTACGCTGTTCGTTCGGGCGACAGAGTTGCGCTTGGTTTTCCACAGATTTTTTTCTAGAATACTTAGGCATTGGTAAGGCATTCTTCATCCAAGAATATTTTCTTGGTTTACGCAAGAATGCCATCGGCTTGTTCTCATACGGTGCGCAGAGCAGCACGAGAGTCAAAAAGTCGGTAGGGGGCCGACCGGACTCGAACCCATGCCCCGTCGGTCCGAGCCAGCGCCTCAGCCCACTGAGCTATCGCCTCGACGACGGAGCGCGCCAGTCCAGCGCACTGTTGGTAGTGGCAGCTGGACTGTGTCCGAATCATCCGAATCAGGTCGGCAGAGAGCGGCGGCCCCGTCACCTGTCGTGGTAGCTCAGTGGTCTCTGTGCCTGGCGGCTGGATAGTGAGCCGGGTCCGGCAGGGGTTCGATCCCAGGCCGGAGCGCAACCAGTTTCTCCAAATCAGTGCCTCTGTAGTTGTGAATGGCCTGAGAGGGGATGGACTAAGTTTCTGGAAACTTGGGAAAGAGAGACAACTGAATTACCGTTTTGTCAAAATATAATTCCCGATGATTCCACAACGCCGAGGCAAGTGGTCGAGAGAGATGGATCGGAGGAGTCCGATCCGGGTCGGGTCCCAGCCGAAGTGATCCCGAGAACGTACACTACGTACACGAACACAGCGGGCGGGAAAATATGGGTTGGCTTCAACCAAGACTAGCCGATGCTTGCGCTACGCCTAGCTTGAATCTAGACAGAGATTCTTGTTGTAAGCTAAAAACGTCTTGATTCAAACTGTGCACAATTCAAGCACTCGGCTAGGCTTAATTCAAGAATCCATTTTTCTGGGTGTAGCCGCCACCTGACTCTCTCTCAAGCCAAAGAAATTAAAACAAACGCGAGGGAGTGTATGAACTCGTACCAGTACCAATGTACTGGTAACAGGGGCTCAGCCCGGTGCGCAGCACGCCGCTCGGCGGAGGGGCAGCGCGGAGTCCGGGTGAGGCGGCGCGGCGGCCGGGTAGTCCGGTCGTTAAGTGCATGGACCCTGCACTTCGGGTTAAAAGCATCAAACTTTGTACACATGTTCCTATGATGGTTCTAAGCTGATTTGGCCTTGTAGCCACGACCGCAGTCCGTGCAGGCTCCCTGTGGAGCGCGTTGCCTACCTACCAGGCGGGCGCACTACACCGTGCCCTTTAAGCGCCTATAAAGTCTATAAGAATTGCGCTAGAGCGGAATTTCTTTTTGCGTTGTGATCGCTAAGGACGAGGCTTTAAAATGGTGGATTAGCGGCAGCGACGCGGCTAACGGTATGGCTGCTGTCGTCCGCTAAAGTTTATTCAAGAAAAATTTTCTTCGCAAAAGTGGAGGAAATTTGCGATTTTCTCAAAATCTGTTAGTTTGACAGTAATGTCACTGAAGTAAAAGTTGTCAGGAATTTCCTTACGCGTCGAATGAGTAGTGTACGAGGTACGCACGGCTAATTGAAGCCGAGTATCAGGTCGATGATCCACCCTGTTAAAAAAACAAAGACCTGAAGAAAATCTGAACAAAACAATGGACAAGTTATCAGTTGATGTGGTTGATGTAAGCATCCCATTTTTTTAATTTCGTCTCCTTGAGGAAAGGAAAAGCTGCAATATTTATTTACTAATTCTTTCTACGCAGGTTGCTGTAGAAAAGGCCCTTTTAAAGCAGCTCAAGAAGTTGAATATGTCACTCAAGTGTCACAGTGTCTAAAAGGAGGACTAAATTTTCACTGTCCTATGACAACCACCTCCCAACTACCTTTCTGGAAGCAAGGGAGCAGCAGCTCAGAGGGAGCACTTTGCAGCTATCCTGAATCAAATACCCTCAAAACTATGGGTATGAATTTCAGGGTGAAATGTATTCGTCAGTTAACAACATTCCGTACAGATGAAAACACGCAAAAGTCTGCAAAAGACATATTTTATCTTGTGATCATCACAAGTGTTTGATTACTGTTCTTAAGTTAACTTTTAATTTGCTTGAGGTGATACAGCATTAATTTTATGCTAAATGCAGAAAGGAAAATTGATTGGTCGCAATGAATTAATATTTGTTAAAGATGCAGAACAGATTAAAAATTGACTTATTACCAGCTTCTTAAGTACTTTGTTTATAATATATACCTCACCTCTCAAAAATCAAACAAAAAACAATATAGATCGTAGGCCTGAAGCCAAAAGGGAAGGCTGCATATCACCTTAAGTTGGAAGCAAACAGCAGACAGTAAATACCGATAATTTCAAAACTATACGTCCAATTTCGCCATGAAATCTTATTTTATGATTCAAATATTATTTCCTGAACTTAAAAAATGTAAATATGCATACAAATCGGGTGTAAATCGGGAGATGCTGTTCGCTGTCGTGCGGTTAATTCCCTCAGCTCCGACAGCACCTCCCGATTTGACCTAAATTGAGCACATATTTATAATTTTAAAGTTCAGAAATTACATATAACTAAAGTACGATTTAGTACGTACGCAGGGTCAAAAAAACCTAAAATTTAAAGAAAATTACAATTTTGGACCCAAAAACGTAAAATTTTGGGGTGCCCAGCCCCCCGCCCCCCACCACCGCTTTGTAGCCAAGCCAACCGCCAACCAGAAACGTAAAACGCAGCCTAAAAACCGCCTTCTCTCACTTTTACTCACTTGTCTTGTTTCTGCTCCATGCCCGCCCATGGTCCCCCCGTTGGACGATGATCCTGTCCAAAAAACAAAGACCTGAAGAAAATCTGAACAAAACAATGGACAAGTTATCAGTTGATGTGGTTGATGTAAGCATCCCATTTTTTTAAATTTCGTCTCCTTGAGGAAAGGAAAAGCTGCAATATTTATTTACTAATTCTTTCTACGCAGGTTGCTGTAGAAAAGGCCCTTTTAAAGCAGCTCAAGAAGTTCACTATCACTGAAGTGTATGGTCGCACAGTGTCTAAAAGGAGGACTAAATTTTCACTGTCCTATGACATTCCACCTCCCAACTACCTTTCTGGAAGCAAGGGAGCAGCAGCTCAGAGGGAGCACTTTGCAGCTATCCTGAATCAAATACCCTCAAAACTATGGGTATGAATTTCAGGGTGAAATGTATTCGTCAGTTAACAACATTCCGTACAGATGAAAACACGCAAAAGTCTGCAAAAGACATATTTTATCTTGTGATCATCACAAGTGTTTGATTACTGTTCTTAAGTTAACTTTTAATTTGCTTGAGGTGATACAGCATTAATTTTATGCTAAATGCAGAAAGGAAAATTGATTGGTCGCAATGAATTAATATTTGTTAAAGATGCAGAACAGATTAAAAATTGACTTATTACCAGCTTCTTAAGTACTTTGTTTATAATATATACCTCACCTCTCAAAAATCAAACAAAAAACAATATAGATCGTAGGCCTGAAGCCAAAAATCCATCTAATACAATGAGCATTAGTTTAGGTACACTCAGATATCATTTTATTCCTAGAACATACCATCTACTGATAAGAATCCGTCACCAGTTCATCGTCCAACAGGCAGGGGCCCAAGTTCATGTGGATAAGGGACGTTGACCTGCACCTCTGGTGTGTGCTGATTTGAAATCGGAAGTCGGGGAACTTAGCCTGGAAGAAATCCACGCTGTCTTGTTATTGGTCCCAAACCCTTCTGTCTCACAGTCCTCACATTGATACTTACATTAAAAAAGGATTTCATATCCTTCTTCTTTTGCTCCGGTGTCTCATTCAGCCATACTTCCTTTGACTTCCCCACCAAATGCCAAGGCACCGAAAAACGGTACACCGCATATCTGATTTAAACATATTCACAAATTCATAATACATGAACATCAATGTATCTTAAAATCGGGTAGATCCTGGAGGGTCCCCT